GGGTTGTCACCGGTACAGTGTGATGAAATAACAAGGAAATATAAACATAAAATCAAAACAAATAGAAGAAATTCCTCTCATATGTTTTATTTACATCTTGGGGTGAAAATAGAGAAGCCTGTACCTTTGACTTACAACTAGACATTCCATCCGCATTTTAAAGTTGTCAACCAGTTTTTAAATTTAATTCGTTGTAGTTTATGTGAACCACCAACAGATTGCGCTGATCGAAATTACTAATTTTGGTCAAATAAACAATTTTTTTACCAAGTCAACTTTGGAATGACTCATTATGAGCCACAGCAACTGTTATGACCCATCAACTTTGTTAGCAACAAAAAATAAGGTAGAAAATAGATCTTTAGACACACATTCTGTATGGCTCACACAATTACAATGTTTTAATGGCTTTATAATTTATAAAATGACGACAGCTGGTCCATATAGATGGGATCTCTACATCAGTATCCAATCGTCAATGTGTGTACATTACATATTTTTTGTTGAGTTTTTGACCACTGGATGACCACTATAGCCTTATACTAGCCAAATATCTGGGATCTTTGTTCAATTTTTTTATGTGAACTTTTACTTTTGCTTAGCCCTTCTGACTTTGGATACCATATTGAAGTCTTTAAGGTAAACAGGTAATATAAAAAAAATTTAAATAATTTCCAAACCCCTACTCTAAATGTTCATTACAATGTAATTGTTACAAATAAATTATGTAAGCCTGTGTACAATCAGTTTGTTTTCTGTACCTAATACTATGTTTTTTTAGATCATAAATTCCCTCAGGGTCCTGTATACCAGGTTTTTGTCACCATTTTAAACCTTCAAGGGTTATTTTATTGATTGGCAAAAAAATAATAACTTTTAAATGTAACTTGTTATGTTTTTAAGAAGAACTAAACATAATATAATACAAAGTTTAAACTTATGAAATCATCATCTAAATCAAATAACACATAGTTAAAGTAACAACGTGGAATATTCCTCTTGCTCAAGTAAACAGATACACAAAGAGGGCTCAACTTACAAAGTGTATGCAAACAAAGAGGGAAAGAGGTTTTATAGGCTGAGACGAAATTTGAAGCGGAAAACTTTACGTTCTGCCTGAGCATGGTTGTTTGAATAAATGATATAATACAATGTAAAATGTTTTATTTTGTACAAATTTAACATCCTTTAATATATATAAATCGTTACATTCATCAGTAATGTTTTCTGGGAATATTTGTTTTATATTTACACATCATTGTTAATAGGAAATAAAAACTTAAGTAATCAGGAGGATTTAAAATACCGTGGTAAAAAAACATACAGAAATTGATTGAAACAGATTTAAATAAATGACTTTTCACCACACTACGATTTTTTTAGCCGTTTTACAAACTTTTATTGGAGGCTGAAAGCTACATATTGCTGTCATCTCATCGTCATTTGAGGACCGAGCAGATTTTTACGTTCCTGGGGCAGAAAATCAGCTGCCCGCTAAGTTAACTTTCTTAAAACATTTAATGCATATTAAATATCAATCGTTTTGAGCCGGCAAAACCTCATTAGCCCTAGGTATGAAATATACTATTGTTAAACCTCTTTCTTTAGTAAAATTTAAACAGAAATATTTTATATACAGTGATAAGGCTCTATTGTTATATTTATTATATGATGATTTTGGCAAAAATTAGGTTATATTGAGAAGTAGGTATAGGTAAATGAAAGTTTGGTTTATCACCATGTGGCCCTAACACTATTAAGAGGAGAGTTTTTGTGAACATTGTTAATAATTATCGGAAATGAGGTTATAGGGTGAACTACGAGGGTTAATTTACAAATGAGTTAATTTACTGAATTTGAGTGAATATTTGGTGAAAATTATGGAAAAACGAGTTTTGGAAGAAATGTTGGTGGCAAGAAGTTTTATTTCCTTTACCTTTTCACCATACTCCCTTACACTCACTTACAATGTGGGTTAGAATCCATGTTTCTTATACTATATACATACCGGTACTAATAATTTCTGTTGACAAATAGAAGTTATTCGCTTGACGCTTATTGGGTCTGATGATGATTGGATGTCGAATCGAAATCTACCACTTACCATCTTTTTATGAATTTATTGTCTTGTGATTAAATCGTTTAAGTGTAAATTTATGTTTCGAGATTGTTATTAGACAAATTTGTATTTACTTTGCTACAACTAGAAGATAAAACTGTTCATAGATCCTTGAACTAATATTTGGATACACGACTTTCATATAGGAACAACATTTCTCTAGTGTTTTTAGTGTACACTATAACTTTAGTATATTTATAGACATAACTAGTAAGAACTTAATCAACTTTTGTTATATATCTTCGAGAAACAGTCTACAAAGCACATTGAATGTGAATCCGTTGTACCTTGTAGGAGAGTGGTTTCTTGTAATGGTGTTCAAACAAGCTTGTAGAACTAATGGAAAGAAAACACTTCCATGTTGTCAAACCAAAAGGGAATGTGTAAAGTGTAAACATATTGATTTTACAAAGAAAATTATGTAAAATGTTCTAGGAGGAATAAAGGTTTCACAAATTATTTTGTATATAAGTAACTAGCTGAGCTGTACCCGCGGGCTTTGCCCCGTTTAACTTCATACAATAGCTCGAGCTCGTTCGCATGGCTCAATCACGTCCTGGTTGAAGTTCGTTCGCTACGCTCACTCACCTTTAGGTTGGAGCTCGTTCGCTGCGCTCACACGTCCTGGTTGAAGTTCGTTCGCTACGCTCACTCACCTTTTGGTTTCAAATTAGCTGTTGTCAAATATTTTAAAAAATGTTAGTGCTGCACTCTGTTGGTAATCCTTGTAACTTTAATGCTATTGAACATCATAGAACAGAACCAACTTGTTTAATTGAAACAGCTGTTATGATTCATTAATTCCATTTAAATATGAGTACTCATTAGGTTAACATGGGAAACTCCAGAGCCACTGGGGCGGAGCCCGAGAGTCCGATCAGAATAAAAACCACTTAGTTTTCCTATTTAATGCCTAAAGAATCAGTGTACCAAATTTCAGCCTCTTAGGTAAGTGGGAAGTGGGAGAATTAGTGATGAGTGAGTGAGTCAGTCAGTCAGTCAGTCAGTGAGGGCTTTGCCTTTTATATATATAGATTACATTTTACTGTTTTTCTTACATAACAACATGTTCCTAGATACATTATGTTTCTGTAATGAGAAGAAATATGTGTTGATGAATAACTTTGCTGTTGTTTTTTTACCTGCTGGTCCATATTTGTGATTCAACGTGTATAAAAAATCATTATTCTTCTACCTTTTTAATTTCAGTGAGTACACTTGTAATTGCTATACATTGGCAATTAATGGTTTTAATTTTTTTAAAGGTATTTTTTTTCAGCTATGATCTCATAAACATACAAAAATTTACTGAAGAATGCAAGTAAATTATAAGACTAAGCAAGTTATGATAAGTTAGAAGTCTTAATAAACATGATAGAACATTGTATACAGAACTCTAAACAAAAAAAAATGAATTTGACATATTAGTCTTCAAAGCCAATCTACAAAACAAGCTATTCTATTAAATACCGTATATTTTATAGAATAAATGTTATAGATACATATTTACCATGCAAGTTGTCTGTATTACAATTTTTTCCCGTATTATGGGTATAATAACTTATCTTTAAAACATGGTATAGTCTGTTCAGTACAACATTTTTATTATTAGAATAATCTGCAGTATTAACACAAGTACGGTAACAAAAATTATTTTTAAAAGGTTTTTAAGGAAAATAGCCAGTCAACAAATTACACCTTTATATAACCTTATTTTCTAAGCTCTTTTTATAATTGAAACTCTAACCCCAAACAAGATAAACAAATTTGAAAAACTCCTCCGCAGGGAAATCAGCAATAAACTGTTGAACTTTTTGCACCTGTGACAGATATTTCTCGCATGTAGATTGTATGCGTTGAACACTTGAACAGGTTCAAGTTTTGTGGATACGTAACCCTTAATGACTTAACAACACAGTATGATTTTTTAAATAACATACTAGATAATATTTAGTTAAACCCATCTATATATTAATACGCAAACAGTTTTCTTTTCGGAGTTATAACTCAATAACGGCTGGACGGATTTTAACGTTTGAACTGTCAAATTATTGATATTGTCCAAATACTGTATATGTGCAAAAACGTCTCTGAATATTAAGGGCATGCCTTAGGTACAATTAAGGGCTGAAAATTCGATACGGTGGTGCTATCCGTTGACATTGGAACAAACTCAATTAACTTTGCTTACAACTAAACAAATGTGCATGGTTTGAAATAGTTCTTGAGGTTAATCACAGACTTCAGGACTTATTTTCCATATTACTTCAAGAGCAAAGCCGAAGAATTTATATTTTTATTTAAATATCTGTTTACTAAGTCTGGTTAATAAAATAAAGTATTTCCTACCCAGATGACAAATTGTTTGTAATTTATAGTTGAGTTGATTTTCCTTACATCGTATTTTACTGAATACTCATGTAGTTTTGGTTACAGTACGGTATAAAAACAACATGCAGACAAAGAATGTAATGACAATCTTAAGCGGGAAATAGGGTCACACATTGAAAACCTAAACCAATTTGTTTAACACTATGACAAAATTTGTGGGAACGAGACCTCGGAGGAGTCCAATGAGATGCTTATATATGTGCCTCTTTGATAGAGGTCAAGCTGTTTATGTTTTCGTTCCTTATTCTTTTACCAAAAGCTGCAGTTTTGCTTGGTTTTGAGCAACGGGTTATCTATTTTATATAAAACAACAATGTAATAAGATAATGAAAATATTTCTCACTTAAAAATAATGTGTCAATTACTAGTTATATAGTGTACTTTTTCATAGTGTTAGTTTTCATCTTTGTAAAAAATTATTTTTTGGGATCTTTTCCAACACCCATTTATATATCATTTGTATTATATCCTATAAGATACAGCTTGAGTTTTAAGGTTGTTCTGGATGACTAAGATCAACCGGTTTCTCGGAACCACAGCTCTCAGAAAAGTCTTCGAGTTCACTGTATATAGGGTTTTCAACAGTTACATTTCTCTGCACCTGTAAAAGAGTCAGAGCAGTTTAGACACACATTTTAAACTAAATAATAAATCCATATTTTTTTATTTTCTAATTTATTTTTTTTACTTTGGATACAATTTTGAACCATTATTATGTGAAAAAGCAAAGCAGTGACTTATCAGTAACTAATCAATAGACCTAAGATATGACTAAATTATATATCAGCAAGTAGTTAAGTGATAATCACTGTAACTCCTCACATTCGTAGAACTAAGACTGATTTCATAACTTTTTAAAAATATACATGGATAGTTCAAAAAGAATTAGACAAATCTAAGGATTAAAATTTAAAAAAGAAGCAATATTTTCTAATGCACATCTGTCACTGACCTCTCCAGTAGCTCTGTACATCGGGTTGTCAAAGGCCTGAGGAGGGGTGGGGGGAGATTGTCTCTGCTCATGTGCCACAACTACTTCCCCGGACTGGTTTTCAAACCTAGCAAAAACAAATGGCCGACCACCTGCGGGCGAAAACTGCGACCACGACCTGAAAGTTTCAATAGTGTAAAACCACCATGTAAGTGATTAAATTGTAAAAAGGATTAACTTGAATTATTTTACCACTGGCACATAAGTTTTAATCTATGAGAGCTGTCCACAAATCCACCAACTTTCGGACAAGAACTGGATCTAATCTTGCAGCTCCAGAAATACAACCAACCAACCATCTACCCCAAGTAAGGCCCGTTTTTGCATATAGCTTCCTTGTTTGCGAGTACGTCACAATGAGGCTCCTTACTGTTTACTGGCATCATTATAAATAGAATGGTGCCATTAGCAGCTCTGTAGCTGACGTGTTAACTTTGATAATAAGGTTTTAATAATTTTTTTTTATCACCCATGCAAGATAAAGTCAGTGATACTTTTCGACCATAAGGAAGCATATCCATTGCCGACATTCATCGCCGGATGAGTGAAGGTTATGGCGCTAATGCAATGAGTGAGGGTAAAGTGCAGAAATGGGTAAGGGAGTTAACAAATGTTTGAGAAAATGTCCATTTCGGAAACAATTATGTTTTTGGTGGTTTAGCCAGACTTCTCACAGAAGACCAAAAAGTAGAAGTTTATCACAGCTGTTACTAAAATATTACCCTTTACGTAAATAAGGGCTACTGTATTTTTCCGATTACTAATAAAAGAAATTCAAAAATTAAAATATACTACATTTTGAGTTTTGTTGACGATTACCAGTTCTTGGAGTAAAACACGACAATCGCAGCGATTGTGATTGCAGCAAACACCATCAAGGAGAGGAAATGTACAGCTACATGAGCAAAGGAAATAGGATACCAGATGTGTCCTGACACGAATAACTTCTCTACTCTCCAACCCATGACATCTGGAAACAGATATGAACACAGTTAAAACCTATTTGCTGGCTCTCTTCATGTACAAGGCATGTTTTTTAAGTAAGTACGGACCGTTATTAAATTTCTTTGTACCAGCTCTGCGATTGGCATTTTTGACATTTGTGCTAAGTATGTGCATCTATTGGCAAGACTGCGCCAGAAATCCGGCAACAATCGGACGTGTTTACATCTGGTTTGGAGCATTAAAAATGGTGTCCCCAATTGATACTGCCGCCGACTGTGAAGTGCACACTGTAATTAGATTTTTAAGTGCTAACTGTGTGAAAGCCATTGAAATTCATCGACAGATTAGTGAAGTGTTTGGTGAGAACATTGTAAGTGACGGAATGGTACGCAAGTGAGTAAGGGCATTTAAAGACAGCCGCACCAACGTTCATGATGAGCAACGCAACCGGATGTAAACATGGCCGATTGTTGCTGAATTTCCGGCGCAGGCTTGCCAATAGATGCACAAACACAGCATAAATGTCAAAAATGCCAATCGCAGTGCTGGAACGGAGAAATTTTAAAATGGTACTTACTTAAAAAACATGCCTCGTATCTGAATCAAATAAAAACCATCCAGCACCATTAACAGACAGCTAAAAGACTTTCTTCTATTTTTTCCGATCAATGTTTAGGCAATGTATTTCCCATTTCACAAAGTACTTTTTTCTTTTGAGATTTTCCCACATCTCCTTCCTACTGGGCTGTAATTGAACATCTTGAGTAAAATTCTGCAATCAGCTATTTATTTAAAATGTTACCTCCAGGTCTCTCAGTATTATTGTATCTTTTTTTAGGCTGTATGTATTTAATTATCTTCTTACTACTTCACACCTTATTACATATCATCTTGAACATCTGTAGTCTTCTTTAAATATAGTTTTTTCTGCCTTATTCCTATGATGATAAATTTCCAAATAAGTTGGCTATGTTTAATATAATGTTGAACTTATTTAAAATTGTTAAGACAAAATCATTTACCGGTACTATTTAACATTCTATTGCGTGAAACATTATGACCACCTACTTTTCTCTATCAGTGATTTCAGATCATCTGCAATAGCAGAGGTTTCTCCACTATAATCTCCATTTTCTAATAGAACTATCTGTATAAAATCTCCAACTTTACTGGCATGCCAAGCTATGTCTTTGTTTTTCATAAATAAACTGATAACTTTTGTAAGTGGTAGCTTCTTTTGGTCTTTACTCCTCATGAGAAAATATGCACCTGAAACAGAGAAAGGTATTCAAAATATGTTCACTTTAATTTAAGTAAAACAATGCAGTGATGTTTCAAAATGTTAGGAAGTGGATTATTTTTTATTTGAAAGGAATAAGGATTTAAGTCATGGGAGCAGTCATTACAAATGACAAGAAAGAGAGAGGAACCTGTAATCAATGTAGATTTTCAATTTTCAATTATCAATTATCAATTATTAAAGATGGGGACGCCACTATGTGCGTATTTTAACCCAAATATGAGTGAAGGATGAGTGTAGGATGAGTGTAGGATGAGTGGCGCGATCTTGTAGATAAGCTGCAACTCCAAGGAGTCACTGCTCATTATGCAAAAATTCTTGTTTAAGTAGCTCTCTGGGAAAACTAAGATGAATATTTTTCATTCCATGATCATCCCAGTTACTAAATACTAAGTAATAATTGAAAGACAACAAATATCTTATTATTTAATGCAAACAATTAAGAAATTGATTTTTGTGTCTAATTTTACAATATTCGTTTTTTGTGCACTCTTGTAAAAAGCACAGACAAAAATACTGTCATCTGAATTTAACAGTACTAATTCAGTTATATTAGGATTGGATACTAATTTTACTTTATACCTTGTTAAAGCTAGACTTATTAAGTCAGGTAGTTAGCATCTCGCACATCAGTGTAAGAGTGACTGGTTCAATCACCATCAAATCCTCAAAAATTTGAGAAATTTTAACCACTGTTCCTCAAAAGTGTTTATGATTCTTTAAAAAAGACGATGAGGTAGACAGTAACAAAAAAAACACATAGAGACTAGATAGTTTTCTAACGTGATGTTTCTCTCGCTAAAGAATGTATTCACTTTTCCTTATATGTAGTTATAGTGGGAAAGTAATCACCAATTCTCGCCAGCAGATTGCTCAAGTCGGCATGCTAACAAGTTTCCAGGATAGAAAAATAATTTGATCTATTTAATAACTTACCACAAATAAAGATTTGTATGGACAAAAATGTGGTGTAAATCAGGTGTGAACTCGAGAATCAACAGCCTACTCATCATCATTGCTCATGATTGGGGAAAACTAATTTAATTTAATTTAACTTTAAATTATATGCCCTTTTTTTAAAAAAAAAAAAAAAAAAAAAAATTCTCTGAATCAAAAATTGTAAACCAAATAATTGTGGTAGTTTTATCAACCCCAAAAGCTAAAATCCCTATCATGGTCCTTGCGTGCTCACCCGACCGCGTTGGACTCAACAAGTTCAACTCGGCCTGCAGCGGTCTAACATCATTTTAAACCTTGCTAATTATTTAGTAAAATCTGGCAACCCACTATTAATATAGTCTACTGTATCACTCTTTAACACCCAAACCCTAGCATATTTTAACTTGGGCTTGACCAGGTTCTAACACCCTATAAAGGCCCTGCAGTTAAAGAATTACCACAGATATGGCAGCAGAAGCCAGAAGGTTTGACTGGCTGTTTGCAGAGAGGTAAAGGACACACGTCTGTGCAGATCTCGGAGTGAAGGTACTCGTTGTGACACTCGCACCAAGTGTCCTCCTGACAGTTGGTAGCACTGATCACCAGGTCTGGAGCGTCTCCGTCTGGCTTGTGAAGCTGCCACGAGCTCTCATCTTGACTAGAGTGTTCATACCAGTCGAAAGAATCAATCATCTGAAAACAGCACTGTGTGTAAAGTGTAATGCTCTATCTAATATCTATGCTTTGTTTCACATTCACTGTGGAGTAAAGAGTGTCATGTAGTGTCAGTCATGTTTTTCACATAGCAGTTTCAGCAACACTAGTTGTCCTAAAAACATCATAACCTTCAAAACACTAAACCCTTCATTGGTGTCTTTGATTTTAAAACACAAGGAAATTTTTATTTTTTTTACTTGATTTTTTCGGTGACACAAGGAATTTTAAGAGCGGGCCAAACAGCTAGTTTTATATTAATACAAAAAGGCATCAAAACCACATATAATCAATATAATTGTGCATTAAATCAATAAAACCTCTGACTTAACATATTTATAAAATAGGAAAAAAACAATAACACCATTGGTGACACACGGAACTATACTCCTGGAATCCACAGCATGAGCGGTAAAACATGGAGGCGTGCTCCGTGCTACGCGACTCTTCAGGCTTTAACTGATTAATAGGGGTAGTGCGGGGGAGGGCGAGAGCAAAATAATGTTCAATCGGTTCCAGAAGGAGGCACATGAGGTACGGTTACTCTTGAAACTGCCGGCTGGAGATAACACATATTTTTCTTTATAAACACAAATGGGCCTGGGGAAAACTCTGTGGTGTCCTCTACCAAGTGTTAATTTTTTTTCTTTATGCTTTTTTAATATTACCTTACTAATTTTGATTTTCCACAATGTTTAGGGTAGGATTGAGATAGTTATGTGACACATTTCTACCCTAAGGATTATAAAAATAATTAAACTAGATCACTAAACTACATCACTTAATAAAAGTAAAAAATGTGAATCGTAACAAAACAAAACCCCCTACAGACTAAAGCACAACAAATTATCAAAACTTCTGAAATGTATTGAAAAGTTAAATACTCGTTTAAAGAAATGATAATGAATTAATTAGCCCATTAACAATGTCTTGCAAATTTAATAAGGCAAAATAGATCCTTTACGTGGCAGTGCATTCTTCTCCAATAAACATCAGTGCTATCTTTATTTCTAGAGTAAAACAACCTTACCACTCCGTTGATTTCGAGACTCCCAAGTTTCAAGGTTGGAGGTGTGATAATGTTGAAGGTTGATCCGGGAGTAAATTTGACATCCTCCTGGGTGCAAGGGACCCGCTCTAGATCTGGGGTAGCCCGGGTCCACCGGTCCCAGTTGCTTGGGTCGACCCATCTCATAGGTTGGGTGTGTTTGAAAATTACATCTGTGAAACAAAACAATTTGCTATCAGTTTACCAGAATTATATTATATACTTTATTAATCTGGAAGTTTTGTTTGTAAAATAACCTTTTGAGACCAAAGTATCATCTATTGATATAACAATGCCTTTAGTCCACTTTTTTCATCTTATGAACTTAACCCTTCACGGAAGGGTGATGGATATATCCGCCTAAGTCTTTGGCGATATAGGACAGGTGGCAGATATATACACTTATGGTTTTTGATGTTCCAGACGGGAAGCGGATATATCCGCCTTCTCTTCAGACAGACTGGCAGGTTCTTGAGCAGTAACCAGATGTTTCACGGTACCAAGGCGCCACTTTCCTGCTCTCTCCATGGCTGCGCTCACTCCCGCACTCCCTCTTCTATCCCGTGCCAACCCCTCTCCCGCGCAACCCCTACATCTCCTACACTCCCCCCTCGACGTTTCACACTCAACACTATGTTGTCTTTATTTATTGTTCACATAGTGTTCCTTATTTATTGCCTAATGTTGTCATGGTCATATCTTCAAAGACGGGTGGCGGATATATCCGCTGCTTTTCTACTCATCTGCGGACGGGTAGCGGATATATCCGCATAGTTAAAAAGGAGTAAAAAATTATTTTGACACTGAAAATGAAAGATAGATTTTAATATTTCACAACGAAATTGTGAGCATCCCTTGAGGCTGCAGTGAAATAGTGGACTTCTTTCACGATCACGGAGACATCGTCTGCATCTCCTGCTTTCACAATGTCATCGTGAACATCTTCCGAGGTTGCAACAAAATTAGGGACATCTTCTGCAATCGCATGGAATCATTATTGTGTCCTGCAACCGTGGTGAAATCATGAACGTCTCTTGAGGTCATTGAAAAATCGTTAACATCCATCCCAGTCTCAAAAACGTTTTCATCATCTTCTGCAATCGCAGTGTAATCGTGATCTTAGCAGGCGCTTTTGGCGATTGCAAAAATAAAAGTTCAGCTCACAAATCAAACTCCTTAACAGATTATCAATCAATGAAATTATTTTTTGAAATTCTTTCTGTTAGGGAAATGCGGCACTGACAACACCTTAGATAGCTCAGGAATTTACCAGACCTAAGTGTCTACTGCAATATGAACACTAGTTAACCCATATGATAATAACAGCTGTGATAATAACTACATAACGGAAATTACTAATTTTTCATCAGCGATCCTCAACACTTAAAGATAGTTACTCTAAGTCATAAGTATACAAAACCAGGTAATAATAGAAAAAAATAAAGCATTATAAAGCAAACTGTTCAAGTATATTTTTTCCAACCATTTTCATTGGATTTTAATTTTTCTGTCAAATTCATAAAAGCCTACACCCCAAATTGCTTTTATTTTTTTATTAGAATTGACATATTCCTAACAGTTGACAAAATGGTGTATTGGTAAATGAGAGAAAATAAAAGGTGCAAACAATAGATGGGTCGTAAACATCTGACCTGTACACAACCGTTAATTATTGCAACAATAAAACATGGTAACAATGCAACAATAGCAGTGAAAGGACACTGTCCAACAATCATTGTGTTGAATTGTTTGTTTTCATCTGATAGCTTCCCTGATAGGGAATGATTCTAATTTATGGAAGTATCACCCATTGTACAAAGAACATTTGGCTTGCCTTGTTTTACAAATGGGCAATATTTGTGTTTTATTTACATTTTGATTGGCAATAGTCTGATTTTAGCTTTTAACAGGGTGTTAAAACAAAATTTTAAATTTTCAAACACCAATCTCAGAAATGTTATTAATATTTGCATAATATTGATATATTTTTTGTATTCTAAAAGATTTTTAAAGAACCCTAGAAACAAAGTTAAAAGATGAGACTATGCTAGTATAAATAAACTGTGGACATAAAATTATTATTTCAACTGTCATTATGTTAAAACTTAATTTTCCTTGTTTTAAAAATACAATAAATTACAACCCAAATCCCTTTTTTTTCGGTTTAAAATAAAACATCTGAGATACGTAGCAATAATTTGTAGCATTAAATCATTTAGGTACTTTTGGATACTTAAATACACATCCCATCTTTATCAAATAAATAGACCGGATTTATCAAATTTTGTTTTTAAAAAACATAGTAGAATAAGCCAAAGGGCATGTTAATGTCTGCAATTATATTTTTCCATAAATACTGCAATAGTTTATTTGACATAAAAGTGCTCTTTGCACTCTGTTGGTGGAAAAATTCACTTTGGTAATTTTTATTCTACAACTTTAATATGTAGCCTAAATTAAATGTATTGTTCAATCCAAAGTCAATGTTTTAATTGTACAGTAGATCACACAAACAACAAGACTCTCAATAGTAAGTCACCTTTGATAATAAGTAACATTTAAAAACACATTTATTTTGTAGTATGTAACTTACCCCTAATCTTAGCTATTGCAAACCTCAATAAGAAGTCTACCTTGATATCAAGTCCTATTGGATAATCTCTGTGAAAAACTTTCTATCAAGGTTCTACTGCAGTAAACAAAATACCCCCGCCGCAGCAAAACCTTTAGACTAAGCGAATTTCAACTTGTCTGATTACATTTTTACTAAAATATTTCCATAAATAAGACATATTTTTTTTTCAATTTAAATAACATTAGATTTAACGAGTGCTTAGGTTTGCTGCTACGGGGAGGGTAAAAAGTGTTTTTTGACCATACGTCAATAGTATAAGATGAAATAATTAAATTTGCAAATTGTATCAACATATATCCATCCATACACAAGTAAACTACAACAGTTTTAATTTTCTTCATAAGAATAACATGGGAATTTTAAAATACACTATTTTTGAATTTTTTCCGTGACCATTAGGCATACAACTAACAGCGCTTCAATATACTAAATTATTTATTTTTAAGCTCTACAAAACAGTTTAAAAAGAAATAGAAAATTTTTTTTAGGGTCAAAAATGGGAAAACCCCATTTTTACCCCATAAAACCCCGTTCCCATGGTCCAATTATGCTGGTTCGCGAACTCGTTTGAAAAAACGTAGGTTTACACTTTGTACAAAATTTCATCGTAGCCGGATCATTTTTGCTTGAGTTATCACGCTAACGGACACACATATATAAATATGAATTTGAACGGATGGTGTTTTTGGCCTCTAGGGACCTAAAAAAAAAAAAAAATTAAATTGGTCCCGGGTCCAGGAAAAATCCTTGCAAACATAATCATAACTCTACCACAATCACCACTATGGGGTACCTTGTCCGCTACACTTGGCTGTACGGTTGGCCGGTGTGAGGTGTACACTTCCATCCTTTAGTAGTACAAGCTCTACGTCATCTCCCAGTACCATGCCAGAGACGGAGGTCTGTCGCTCAGGCAATTGTAGTACCAGTGGGGCAGAGCTCTGGAGGATCATCCTGTCCGCGGGACACGGGAGTCGATGGGGAGACCAGTTGTTGGGGTTGTTGAGGTTCAGGTTGGTTTGCCATGTTCGAACAACACATTGTACCTCCAGCGTCTTCAATGCTGTAAATTAAGTCGTAGGTTGAAAAGTTAGAATGGTTTGGTAGCCAAAAAATATGTATATAAATTGGTTTAAATACCTGCTTCTATGTAATCCAATAGTCACAATTAATGTCACGCAACTAGTTTCGACTTCATGAAGAAGTCATCTTCAGGCGTCCAATGGATGTCAAATGATAACTTCATCAGAAGTGATTATTATAGTACTTATATGAATGTAGAGTCTAGACGCCACATTCACCCGGTCGTGACGCATCATCCTTAAGTTACCGTACCTTTAATTTGTCTTATTCGCAATGTAAATGTATCTTTTTATGTAACTATGTCCGTGTTCGTGTGCATATTTGTGTGTGAATATGTGTATCGACGACCTTCTGATGAAGTGATTATTTTGACATCCACTAGGTGCCTGACTTCTCCATGAATTTGAAACTAGTTGTGTGACATTAATTGTGACTATTGGATTACATAGAAGCAGGTATTTAAACCAATTGATATATTCAACTAAAATCCGGAGGCTAACAACAAAAATGAAAAAATATATATAAATATACGTCTAATAACACTTGTAATAATATATTTACACTTATACTGTTGACTGTTGCCTATTGGGTCGGATGATGATTGGAGTGTCCAATCGAAATCGATCACCACTTACCACCTTTTATATGTATTTATCGTCTTGTAGTCAACTGTACAAGTATAATTATTAGAAGTGTTATTAGATGTATATATTTTTGTTTTTTTTTCAGGCAATGAAACAGACGATAAACTAAGAACGTTGCTGGCCAAAGTAAAACTAAGAAATAAAAAAATGTTAGTAGAGAGTACGAGAGTTGCATTTTTCAGTCATTGCATAACGATATTTGCGAACACAAACATTTTTAATAGATAGTAAAAAGAGGAGATTTTTCACTTATTTTCATAAATTTCCCTTAGCTAAATTTTGAACATCAAAATCTGGTAATCTCCGGGGTAATCCGGCGATATTTCAACAATCCCATTCCAATATTTTCCCCAAGACATGAGTGTTGTTTACCTAAGACGTCAAGACACATTTACCTAAATCAACATATATTGAAAGCGATTCGAGCAAGCAAATAAATAAATAAACTAAATATAAACATACTCAGTTAACTTACCAAACAGTAGAAATATGAAAGAGTATAACACAGTCATTATGTACTGGGTGGATGGAAGTTAGGTAACATCTGCTTTAGTATCTGTCATTTGGTGATTAGACTGATTACATCCTCCTGGGAATAATGTTCTGCTGATACTATAAGAAACAGACACAGTGAAATTAGTATTATCCATAGTACTTATTCATTTAGATAGGTTTTTTGATTGGGTCCCCTTATAAATTTAACAGCTTAATACTGATTACTCTCGCAGAGTGGTGTCTGTCAATTGTTCCAAGTGAATACTTCTTCTAGGTCCCTTAATTGCCATTGGCTGTATGGGCTAACTAACAGTCCTGACGAAGGAACACGTCGGTCTTAGTCACTAACAAGTCTACAAGATCTCGCCACTCATCCTACACTCATCTCTATTTATCCTTGGTTTAAAATACCTACCTTTGTTTGGTCGCCATTTGAATTGAAAGTAGTTAAGTATATTCTTCTGGGCTAAAACCTACAAAGGCTTTTTAGGACTATGTCCTTTTCGCAAAACTACTAAACCACTGTGCTGAAACTATGCAGAGGGCATTACTTGTCTAACATAAGTCGGTTTCTACAATTGAATTGCCCTTAGGTTATGTAGACTTGTAAAGCATTGTGTTTGTGCTTTTTTCAAATAAATATTGGTTTGGCCTCTGTGGCAAGCAAAAGAAATACCAAGACATGTATATTCTGTTTTTTCTTTTCTTTTTTTTTCTAAGAAATAAAAGTGATCAACCCAAGTGTAACAACTATAAAAACTACACAAATGCAAAATTGAAAAACAGTTACATATTGGCAGTGTACATCTTGGGAGTTGTGTAAAATTTAATATCTATAAGTCAAGATAGGTTTTTATTGATAATTTTTCCTAACACCTAATAAAAAAACCTTGGTAAAAATATCTTGTATAGCATTAAATATAAATTTGTTACAAAATATCCGCATATTTAAACTCAACTCTTTCTATGGTCTGAATATGTCTCCCTCAAAAAAACCAGATGTGAGTGGTTTCAATACAACAGAACCATAGTTCAAATCTCAAAAGACGTCTAGATAGTTGAGCACAAAATTGAATGGTTGATTAATGCAAAACAGCGTTGTCCAGATTCTAACTACCAATAGCAAGATAAAAAAGAATTTCACTTTGAAAAAACTTTAATAAAATTCTGAATTCCAAAAAATATTGGATTGGAAGATTTTCCCTAAAATATTCTAAAAATTTTCGGATGGATACAAAAAGGGGCTTAAAGGGAACTAGGGATGAATAAAACCACAATTCTATATTATAAATATTTATTTCTGAACTAGCGGCCGAGGAAATAAATAAAACAAATAACAAAAGGAATATGTTTGCACATTTCCTAACATAAATATACATAAATAAATAATACAATAATAGGCAAGATAAATTACAGAAAACTATTTGGTACACATGACTACAACGGCTCTTAAGCATCAAAAAGGTAACAAAACAACAAAACATGACAATGAATAACAGAACTAAAAGCTAACTTAAAACTAAACATGGCACACATAACAGAACCTATCTATAAAATATTAGAAAATATTTACTTTTGTACTTATGTACATTTGGCAATGTACTCTGTGAATCTTTGTTTGTACTTATGTACATTTCATAATGTACTCTATATTTTATTTTCATTCTTTTTTATTTTTTATTCTTTTTTTTTATTAGTTTTACTAATAACTTTTCAAAACAGCTATTATTATACTACTTTGAAATTAAATTTAAAGTAAGGAAAGGTTAAAATTAATGTAAAACTACATTAGTAAAATTCTAGAGAAATGCCAAAGCTTAGCTTGGATTGAATAAATGTATTTAAAATACATTAAAGCACTAAACAACCATTAATAAATAATAAAAGCTAAAATTGGAATAAAAATTATCTACAACCTACAGTAATACATGCTTTGTTTGAATTCTGAATGTAGATTTTTTTTACAATTCTTAATACCTACTAAATAAATATCAAATATGGGAAGTAATTAATACTATTTATGGAATGTAAAATTTCAATAAGAATAACTTTTTGATTATTTGAAGGAAGACATTTGTTTGATCAGAAATTATTTCTGTGAACTTGCAAAGATGTTTTGTGGAAGAACATGGCAGTAGAAAATTTACTAAAATATTACGCTGAATTAAAACATTTTAAAATATTGAAAATAATAAAATATCAAATAAAAACATGCGTAGAACATAATTTTGTGTGGGAAAAAATCTTGTCTTCTTTTTTGAAAGCATGACAATCTTTTAAATACTGATTCTAAACTAAATATTTAGCAGCCTTAAGATTTTAAACTAAAATAGCAAATGGAAACAGTTAAAACTACAGTACGAATACTGTAAACAAATTAGCAACAATTAACTTAATGAGGTTTGTAAATACATACAAACTCGGGTTTCAACTAACCTAATGCTTAACATTTGAAAGACAAGTTACAGAACACATACACTAACTAAATAAAAACAGCAAAATACTATATACATAGTAAAACTTGTAACTAAAACTGGAGATCTATCCATACTCCGAGCTCACCGTAAGGCTGAATTCACCTTCTTCTATGAAGGTGTCGTGATACCATTGTCTGGTATCTAGTAGGACTGAAACAAGAAAAAAACATTTGTAGACACATTGTAGAGACATTTGTATACATACTACCCTAGGGACTTGGGATAACTTTGATTTTCGAAAAGGTATATTTTGGGAATCGACAGATTGTACACAGATCGACAGATTGATTGTGATTGCGTCACAAGTAAATTTAAATAGCAGGATGACAGTAAATGTATAGAAATAAATCAATAATCGTATAGAAATAAAGATTTCAACAAATATTTGGAGACCCTATGGAAAACCTTGCCTACACCCCTCATATTTTATGATCTTAAGCTACTACTGTTATGGTGAAACTTGATTTTACAAATCCAGGGTGGCCATAGAAATCCTGGAAAACATTCACACACTTGTTTTTGGTTGTGATTTCTGGTAGCCTAAATGCAACTTTTTACTGTGGGACTGCTGGTCCCCGCTATTTTTGGGTCAGGTCGGGCTAATGGTTAGCCCAAAGGATAGGTTTGAGCCAAAAATGATAATCAGGTCGAGTCTGCCGTGACCACGGAAGATGTTCACGATTTTTCCGTAACCGTGAAAGGTGTTTACGATTTCGCAATGGCTGCAGACGATGTTCACGACGTTTTAACAGTCAGGTTTTATGTGCGCTAACGGAGTTTTATGAGCCTTTACGCATGAAAATGCAGTAGGCTACATTGTTCCTTATAAATTCGTCTTAATTTCATATAACAGCAAAATGGGTTTTTCCTTGTAAAACAAATTCACGCATAATAGCCTACCCGGTTTTCCTCTAATTCTTGGTCAGTGACCACCCTGAATTTAGATAATAAAAATTTCCACAATAATCTTTCAAACCACTTATTATCATGAGATTTGAAAAAAAATTAACAGTTTGTTGCTTAAAGGGTTACTGTAGACATTAGCCCCTCTCAATTGCTAAAAAACAAGGTTGTTTAAACAGAGGCCGAGCCCAAATCCTGAAAACGCCAAACTTGTTTTTCAGTAAGTTGTATTCCACCTCTTTATCTTACTCTGTGAAGGGGAAATATTTGCAATAATCCTTCCAACACAAACTCACCACCACCGACAACAAACTTAAAAAAAATTAAATTAACCATACAGAACCGGAAGTTCAACTTACATATATCTCCAGGTTCGACCTTGAACTGGAAGCCTGTGCAGACGTCTTCACACTCTGGAGGTGGGTTGAGTCTCCATGTCTTGTGACCTTGTAGTTGTGCTTGCCACATTAACCGACTGATGTAGTCCAGCTGTAACAACACAAACGTACAACAGCAGCGCACATGATCAATCAATTGTCTGAGACAGCAGACATGGGGGCATATTTTAAGCTAGATATGAATGCAAGGTAAGTGTGGAATGATGTGTGTAGCTTTGTTACTGACTAAGACCACCAGTTCTTTAGTCAGCGTCATTAAAAGCCCTATGACCAAGGACAGCTTGGCCCAGAGGAAGGATATGAGACAAAGAGGAATAATTAGAAGAAGGTGGAAGAGAGAATTGAGAAGTGGGAAGGCATGGATAAAAAGTAACAGCATAGTATTAGGAGAATAAGTAGAGGAGGCCTAATCAACGCCTAGAAGTCTGAATAATCTAATCAGGATATGGTTTATTTAGTATGAATATCAGCAGTGCTCAATATGCAGCAGAACGGCGTTCTGGTACCTCTCAAAAATCGTTTTATGGTGGATAGGGGAGGGGTCATAATTCCCGGTAGGTTACAGTCCAGAAACCTCATTTTTTTACAAATCGAGCATGTATTTAACTAGCTAAGTATCTTACTTTTGGGGCACAATTTGTAATATTTTTTTCACTAATTTTTAATTATATTTTCATTAATTCTAACTTTGGTTTTTATTGTTTATGTGTCGCTTGACCCAACCTAATGATAATGTACTGTATTACATTTCTTGTTGCAATTTTTTTTTTTATTGAAGGGAATTTGATATACTGTATCTCTACAAGATTAAAGGAAATTCATAGAACTCTCTTAGCCTACATCCATTTCAGTTCAACATTGAGAAACTGTAGGCCTACCTAATTTGGGGAAAAAGATTGAACACAATGAATGTGTTTTCTGTGGGATCCATTCACAATAGGCTCACAGTACGTTATATGCTAATTGGTAGGAAAGAGCTAATTATCATAGGGAGTGCAGTGACCCCTAGCGTTACGGTTAGTCAAGCGGACACACACCCACATACTGACGGCACCACGCCATGGTGCATGAACATACCCGCTATGGTGGTACCATATGGCAGACTGGAGGTTATGTAAGAAATACATTGGATCCTACAAAACATGGCCTTTGCAAGTTCCTGCACAGTTAAAAAACGTTTCTTTTCATTAACATTGTAATTAGTTTTATAAACCCATCACTAATCGCTGTGTATATATTTATTAGTTATTGTCCTCCTAATCTAATATTAACTAAACCATGATAATATTCTGTCTAATTTACATCAAGAAATAATT